AGAGAGAGAGAGAGAGAGAGAGAGAGAGAGAGAGAGAGAGAGAGAGAGAGAGACAGAGAGAGAGAGAGAGAACAGAGAGAGGGAGCGGTGGGGGGGAAGAGATGGAAAAAAGTAGGAAGAGAGTGAGGGAGAGCCCGCCCCGCGAGTTTGGCAAGCAGGACATGCAATCTATATGAATATGTGATTGTGTTAATATTAAGCACGTTAATATGGAGCCCACATAATATTATCATTATGGTTTCAGTGAAATACCTTTTTGTCAGGAATGTATTTCAGTGGGCCGTGTACAGGGCAGTGTCCTTCATATTCCCTCTCGCAATCGTCGCAGACTGTGTAACAATATAAATATAAAGTATAGGCTGCTAAAACTGTGGGAAGAATTTTCGAAAACAGCATTCATGAAAATTAGCCATCAATTACAACAACCAAGCAAGTCCTGACATGGAACCCTTGCCAAAAAAATATAAATACATACAAAATGTTTGTATTTCTCTTCAAAATACTTGCTAGCATATATCTATAACCAGGTAAAGGTTGATATAACCTATATATAGTGGTCACCCACACTCAATACGACATTATCCCCTCCTGGTGTGTACGTGTGCCACCTTAAGCAGTCTAGTGAACAACTATAAGTCGCGTGGCAGCGCATAGAAACTGTTGACGAGTCGTTACAGTGAGACGTCGTTAACTTACATATGTAATCGTCGTCGTCAGGAACCTCTCGTTCTCTGTAGTTCTTCCTCGCTAGGTTGCGCCTGGGATACCTTCGTCTTGGGCTGCGAACCTGCGCTTGGCCTGCCTGCCTGCTCACACTCTCCTCCAACACTGAATCCGCATTACGTTCTGTATTTAATTACAATCAAAACCAATCTAAAATTAAAGTCATGCATTTAACCAATCAATATATTCATTGAATGTAAATAATTCGTTTCACTAATATTGTATTTGGCTTGTATTTTTTCTTACCCAAATACACTTGCATTTATTAGTTTAATTTACTGTGCGTGAAATTACATATATTCAATTCCAGTTTTTGATTTTGGCAATTGTGTTTGCTCATTCATTTAAACGAAATCGCATTCCAGCTATTAGGTAAACTGATATTTGACATATATGTGACCCGCTCCAGCATAATACGGACCAAGTCGCAAGTCATTGTTTTGAGTAATGAGCACGCACACATGTCAATGCTGAAAATGGCCTACCTGGACAAAAATGAGATTTTTACAAAAATAAGTTTCTAAGTGCATATTTAATTCGGATATATAGGTTCAGATATCTCTAGATTATTATGGTAATTTTTAATTAAAAAAAAATTCTGTTTTTTTTTCTTTGGTCTTCAGACATCGGCCCCTGACCGCTTATCCCCGACTGGGCCCCTTAACCAGAACGCTTTATCTCAAAAGCTGCATATTCCGGAATAAGTCGGTTTCCGATCTTCAAATTGCTGTAGATCNTGATTTCTCCGGTAAATCTCGCAATGCCTCTAATTAGATATGCGGAAAACGAGTATTGTACGATTAATAATAAATACATTTTTTAACCTGTTCTGCAGCTGTGTTACATGCACGAGTGTGATTGTGGCGAGACATACTCATTCTAATTGACTATAGCATGCGTCATCCCGTTTTTTGTGAAATGCCGCCCACAGTATTTCATACATAAAAAACGACTTCCAAACCCTCGCATAAATATCAAAAAGCACATTTCCAGCTATCTTTACTAGCTAGGTCTTCCTCGCTGTGTGAGTGCGCCCACTGTGCTCTACTGGAGATTACTGGGCCTAGAGCACACCTTAATCTTCGCACTTGTCGCCACGCAAACGCTTCTCTCAGCCTGTGTGGAGTGCGCATTGACATTCAACGAGAGTGAGTAGCGTGGTCGATGGGAGACAGCACCCTGTAATCCGCCACGTGTCGCACGCACAACCCGGCTTCTCTCCTGTGTGAGTGCGCATGTGTCTCTGGAGATCACTGGCCTGAGCACTCCTGTATCCGCACGTGTCGCACGCAAACGGCTTCTCTCCTGTGTGAGTGCGCATGTGTGTCTGGAGATTACTGGCCTGAGCACACCTGTATCCGCACGTGTCGCACGCAAACGGCTTCTCTCCTGTGTGAGTGCGCATGTGTTTCTGGAGATCACTGGCCTGAGCACTCCTGTATCCGCACGTGTCGCACGCAAACGGCTTCTCTCCTGTGTGAGTGCGCATGTGTCTCTGGAGATCATTGGCCTGAGCACACCTGTACCCGCACGTGTCGCACGCAAACGGCTTCTCTCCTGTGTGAGTGCGCATGTGTGTCTGGAGATGACTGGCCATAGCACTCCTGTATCCACACGTGTCGCACGCAAACGGCTTCTCTCCTGTCTGAGTGCGCATGTGATCACGGACAGAACTTGCCTGAGTACACCTATACCCGTCTGATTTCAAGCGTTTCTCACCTGTATCCACACGTTTCGCATCTGTGTGTGCGCGCATGTGTTTTTTGAGTTCACCGTAGGCGGTGCATCTGTATTCGCATGTATCGCATTTGCAAATCTTCCTTTCTGTGTGAGTGTGCAGCTTGTACTCCTGCTGCTCTGCGGAGGCTTTGCGTTTGTCGATGCCGAGTTCTCCTGCGTAGCTATCACCGTAATAAACCAACAGCTCTGCGCCCGTCCTGATGTCTGTACACGCCCTGAAACGCATATAAGTTTATGATTTGTTGTTGTACACATTTATATGTAAATAATTATAAGATGATAAGTATTTGTACTTTAGCTGTTTTTCAATAGCACGACTGTTTATAGAAATACAAAAATTAGAAAAGATTGGTTAGAAGAATTTATCTGATTTTAATAAGAAATAATATTTTGGTAGGTATATATAGCCATTCACGAATGACAGGACAAAACCCAATGACAGAAATTATCTTGACTAGCTATTATCATCACAGCATAAACTATCTATATATATATATATAGCTATGCTACTGCACCTCACCTGTAGTATATGCCGCCGTGGAACTGAAAGGCGACCATGTTCTGTTCTTCGTAGGTTCGCGCGCAATTCACGAAGCGCATCCAGTTGGCCTTCGAGCCGTCGTCGGCGTCGACGTAGTGCGACACTTTCCCGCGACGGCGTATCTGCAATTCGGACACGAACATTATAATAATATAACGTAAATAATTTATAAATTATTATATATATAATTAAATATAATAGATTTCACACGGCCCAATCGTACCAACATATCGGACATTTTACGTCGTGGTATGCAGCAAAGAAATGGATTGTTGTATATATACGTATTTACACTAATGAAAAGCTACCAAACACAAGCTAGCACAACAGCTAGCACTATAAACACTGTCAGATTTGGTTGCACTAGATTGTGTGACATGGTTAGTGTAATGGGAAACATTGGAGAGGTAGCATGGCCACCTGCCAAACTATGAAACGTTTGAGGATATGTCAAATCTTCCCGACTGTTCCTAATTAAAACAGCAGTGAGTTGTCGAAAAACAACGGATTTAAGAATTGATCCTCGACTCCGCATAAATATCACGTGACACAATTTGTGAATTCATTTTTTAATGATTGCTCACAGTCAACTAGACACTGCCCGTTGCCACTGCCGTGTATGTTTATATTTATTTCTATAAAAAAAAAAAAATTTATTAAGTTTTAAAACAATATATTAACTCATATAAGATCCGATAGGTGGCGCGGTTTGTTTTTATTTAGAGCCCCGCACTCGGCAAACTCCACGACAGATGGCGCTCTCGCTCTGGCTCAATTCTACCACTGCCACAAGCTGATTTCCGTAAGAATTTCTTACGCTTTTTTACTAGAAGTTTTACAGCGACCCCGTTACTCCTGTCCTATGTAATACGGTGTTTACTTATAAAAGCTGCAAAGATAATAAAAGTCGGACCATTATTTCATGAGAAATTTGATAAAATAGTGATACGAAATAGTGCGCCCATTTACTACTTTCAAATCATTACGCTGTTTACTAAACGAAGTTCACGTATTTATCATGAATTTTCGGGATGCTTGCCAATATTATACAGATAACGCACGGCCCGGCGTGCATCAGTGTAAATGCAGCGCGGCGCGCTGCATTTACATTGATCGCACAACAGTCCAAGTGCGTTATCTGTATAATATTAACACACTATTTTACTGTTAACACACTATTTTAATGTTTTTGAACGTGGAATGTGACACAAATGAAACTGTGGAAAAAAAATAGCCCATGTAACGTGTCATGATCTGTAGAATGTTCTCTGACAAAGTTTGGAGAGGATCCGTACGTTGAGCGGTGCGGAAACGTATAGCCGGACACACACAGAAAATCCCCAATTTATAGTAAGATGTAGCATGTCACACAATTAATTATCCGTGCTTACCGCCCAGCAGTATCCGTGCTTACCTCCCAGCAGTATCCGTGCTTACCGCCCAGCAGTATCCGTGCTTACCTCCCAGCAGTATCCGTGCTTACCTCCCAGCAGTATCCGTGCTTACCGCCCCGCAATATCCGTGCTTACCGCCCAGCAGTATCCGTGCTTACCGCCCAGCAGTATCCGTGCTTACCGCCCAGCAGTATCCGTGCTTAAGCCGGTTCCCAGCAAGTTATCCGTGTAAGCTTACCGCCCGAGGCAGGTATCCGTGCTTAATTCCGCAACCCAGCTGCAGTATTCCGTGCTTACACGCTCCACAGTATGCCGTGCTTTACGCGCGAGCAGTATCCGTGCTTACCGCCCAGCACCCGCTTATCCGCGGAGACATTCGCTTCGTTCTGTGTGGCATCTTTCTGTTCTTCTCAAAACCTTTGTAAGTGCCAAACAAGTGGCAGCCCGGCGATTATAGTTCGGCTGAAGCGGATGACCCGTGTCCGAAATCATGGATTACCCCTGGCCAGTGCGGGAGGCCACCTTAAAGGGTGATCTTGGTATTCGCCCTTAGGCAGAGAATAACGTCTCGTAGCGTCTGCTCGTCGCCGCCTTAGGATTCGTACACTAACCGGGGAAAACCTGGGTGTCGTCCAACCTGTAGATACATCAGTTTAGGGGCTACGTGGTATTAGACGTTAGTGTGGCTGAGAGGGTCTATGTCCCCCAGGGTACTGCCGGAACGTACCCTGGGTACGGTCTGGTATACCGGAACGCTTACCCTGGTACTATCTAATATGCGGACCCTACCATCGCCTACTCCACAAACGAGTCTAGGGAGTCGCCTACACCTACTTCCTAAACCGTAACCCTTAAAACCCACGCCAGATAGTAACCAGGGCTACGTTCCGGGTACCGGACCGTACCAGGTGTAACACGCCAGCCTATAAACATAACTCAGAGTGTAAGATAACACACATTAGTGTTATTCGTAACGACTTTCTAGTTCCGCCATCTTCCAACTACCACGATCACACACGATGAGACCCTTGCACACATAGCAGGGCTGGTAACACAATGGAAACAATACGCTGACCGATTAATGCGCCGGGTGGAGACGGTGATAAAATCTTTAATTCCTTCCTAGGTATGAAATCATAAGCTCAAAACTCTCAACACTGTTGCACGTGCGAATTTGCTATACACCCGCCGTACCTATACAACACAGTAGTTTGCAACCAGTCAACTAACCAAATGTCAATTAAGTGAAACGATAACAAACGAAATTGTCCCATTATTATATTTTGGGACTTTAACAGGCAATGCCACATTGCAGAATAATATTTTCATCTGGTGACCATACAGTTTCAACTTGATGTAAGGATTTGTATTCCTTACAAACAACTTATTAGAATCTTTCCCGGCCTTCGTGTTGGTGACAGATTGTACTGATGGCCCTATCGATACCCCTTCTATCATCGCTCACGGTTACATAATGCTTTTAGGTGACGGGGTCTCTTGACGGCTCTACCTGACCTGGGTGGTGGTTTTGTGGATTGTTCTGAAGTGGGCCGTCCCGTGCAAATGGTGGGAGAAGTATGTATTGGTTGAGGGGGCAATTGCTTTGTCGGCGTAGTGTAAATTGTTTTCTTCTTTCTAGACTGTTGCCATGGGTGTGCTTCTCTGGCAGTATTGGTTTGTGGCCAATAGGGCTGTTAGATATGGCTCCGTGTTAGCCCGGTCGTCCATCCGGGGTGCCTATTGACTCAGTTTCCCACCCGTCTTCCATTTTGGCACTGGTATGGTGTCCATTATGAATTTTCGTTGCATGGTAGGGGGCGGTGGTTCCTCCATGGTGCGTTTAATGTCCGCCACGATTACGTCTGTAATTGCCATTCTGGTGTGTCCACTGCTGTACGACTGCTCATCGAGCCTAGCCCACTACCACACCTTTCTTCATTCTCTGTTGTCCTTTAGGCGAAAGCCTTCATTCTTACTGGTGTCACCTTCTTCCAGTGCAGGCAGATCTTTTGAACGTTCTGCTTGTAGTACTTTGTTTGAGGCGGTCTATTCTTCTAGTTGTTGCAATTGATCTCTTCTGGCTTTTCAACGTTTGATCACCCGAGGCTTGAGTAGGTCGGGGCAGGACAGCTGGCCCGACGGTTATTTCAAACGCTGGATGGCGGCTACTACCCATTCCTTGTTTGGGCGGCTGAATCTCCAGCAGGGGTGAGATATAGGATCTCAGTCGGACTTCTATACGCATTCCTGTCAGCATATCCGCCTTTGCGCCTTCGGACTGAATGGACTTACCGCTCTTGCCATTGCTTTGGCTGTCTGTGTTACTGGATCTCACGGTGACGTGTTCAAAATCCGAGTCTCTCCGGAATCTCTTGGAATTCATCAGATGTCAGATTTCTGAGGCATTGTCGTAATAACTGTTCTGGTATTCCCTGTCTGGCAAGAAATGGTTCTTTTCATTTGCTTGAAGTGACTAGTTGAAGAGTTGGTTCTCTTTCGCAGGTCGCCACCTCCAGAAGATAGGGAATAAGCTGACCACCAAGCTTTTTTTTGATGTTCCAATTAAAATAGGGTCGATGGCAACCTTTTCCCAGGTCTACAGGGAGTTCATGTGGATCAGTAGTTTCTTTGCATGGCTGCCGTTCATAGTTGCGGATGCGTCACAAGTTTGATTATGAACGGTCTTTTATTTCCGCTCATGCTTGGCCAGTCACCAGTGCTTCTCCTGGCCCTCCTGAGGACACGATGTTGTTTCCCGTAAAATGAGAGGGGTGTGAATAGCCCTTCTTTCATTTGTCGTCTCATGGCGTTGCAGCGGATGCGAGCCTCTCGCGTTGAATATCAGCCGTCCTGGTACACTCAGTTCATCACGTATGCTGAAGTATGGCGTACCTGGAGATAGGGCATTGTGCTTCTCGGTTCCTGGCCATCCCGTTCAGAATCACTACCTCACGAGCTGGCAATGTTCTCGTCCTTTCTGTCTCTAGTTTGAGCTGTTCGTAGTCTTTCGGTTCGGGATCTGCGCAGTAGTCTACCACTGGGCGCATAGGTCCTGCCTCAATGGTCTGCCACAGTTCCTGATCAAGATGTTAGGGTAGGCGGTAGGATCGGATCAGCATATTCTGCGACGTGCTCTTCTCTTCGCCAGGTCTCCACTTCAGTGTCAATGTTCATATCCAGGGATCTTCATGAATCCCCTGCGAGAACGTCTAGGGCCTTGCACAGTGGTTTCTTTGAAAGTCCGTTCAAGAGGTTGATCTGTGGGTTGCACTGATGTTTTTGGCATTCTGCCCATATGTATTTGTACTGAAATGGTCTTTCGAAGTGACCAAGCACTGCGGCACTGCGTGCCTTCTCTAATGGATGCGTATCTGTGTCGCCGGTCGTAAGTGCGGCGGACGGCAACGTGCTAGTGGACGACCCTTCCGTTGCTAACAGTGGCGCGACCGGCCGGCAGGGGCCTGAATGCTGACTTGGCGGCATCATCATTGTAGCAACCAGCCTCTTCTGCTGTAGTTATCATAAGTAGTGCGCCATTTTACCTGGCGTGCTGTGCGAGATCATGTCTTTGATCTTCGGTCAATTTAGCGTGTTAATGGGTCTTGTTCACTAGGTCCCAATGCCAAGGAACATCCTCCTTGCGTCAGGCCCCCTAGTTAAATGGGCTCCATCACGGCTCGGGACAGCTTGGATAAGGCAGAGAACCGGGCCAGGTAATTCACTGTACTCGCAAAACTCTCACGGGCGGGGGCTCGGACCCATCGGGGGCTTGTGTTCGAGAATGCGGAATGGCCCTTGACCTTTTTGCGATCTAGCTGTGGAGCCGGTGCAGCTGGTTATGATATGGCCTTGGAGGGACATGCAATAGTAGCGCACGAAGTTTAGTCCCTGGTCTGTGGTAAACTCGCCACTTAGGACTGCTTTGAATTTTAACCTTGTTTGCTGGGGCTGAGCTCAACATTAGAGGGCGCGATCTATTAAGTTTCTGTGTCGTGGGTCCCTACGTGCTTCCCCTCCAGTCGAGTCGAGCGCAACTTCCCCACACGGCATGATGTTCGTCTGCAATGCTGAATTCTGGTAATTAGGACCCAGCCCTTCTTAGCGTCGTCTTGAGACCGCGTTCTAGTCGACTATATGCCTTCGACGCATCCACGTTTACGGACCGCAAATCCGGGAGGCGCTTTCTCAGTTTTATTATTAGCGACCGCCAAGGTGGCGTGTGATTGGTGAAGGTCGTCAACTGCCAGAGTCCTCGAGCCTGAATTCACTGCGAAGTGCCAGTATCCCATGCTTGCAAATCAAATGACCGTGGCGGCCCCTGAAAAATCATCTGCTTGAAATGTCTAAGGTAGTATTAAGTCGATCTAACCCCAGGACCCGGGCATTATGGCGGAAAATGCTGCGTGCGTCTGATTGCCTTGATTCAGGAATGGCTCTCGGATGCTATACAGGCCATCCTATAAGCGTGAGAGATGAGGTCCCCATTCTTCTTCCACGGTCACTGCCATGTCGGCTTGAGCTCAACAGGGAGTCACTGAGGGGAATATTTGATCCCATCTTTGAATTCTCTCTCGATTTTATATCCTTCCCTCTGGAGCTCTATGTTCTCTCAACGGTTTTTCGTTTTGACCCTTGGCCCGTCACTTGCCCACTTTTGGTAACTTCCGTGGTGTGTGTGGGTGAAGGAGGACAGATAGTTGGGGAAAGTGATCTAATCGTTAATCCGGGTCTTACCCGCACTCAAGCGCAGCTGGGGTTACTGTTTCCTCGGGTCATTTTTCCAGTCCTCACTCGTACCGAACACACATCTGCGCGAAGCATTTTCTCCCGATGATATACGCCTCCCGGTCACTGCAGTTAACCGACTTTCGACACATCATGTAGTAATCAGCGCATGATAATAGTGAGCGGTCCCCTTCCGTGTCTCAGCTGCCAGCAGTTAACTCCTCCCACCTTTAGGGAGCGAGAGGTCTAAGCTTCTCGGAAACCACTTTAGATGAAGCTCCGCTGACGTTGATGTTTCAGTCATAGTCCCTGTTTGGCTCCTTGGATTTGTCAGTTTCACCACGCCAAGCAGACAAATCGCGAATATATATAAAGTGGTGGGGTTAGGCTGCACGTCTTATTCCACGAGTGGACAGCGTAACATCTAGTTTTATTGATCACCGCTACCGGACCTTGGAAACTGTAATAGCAGGTATGCTTCCGTGGTTGACAACGTTGACTGTTAGCACCACCAAGTCCCTCGACTCCTAGTCAAGCTTATTTACTCGGGTCTTGAGGTGCTAGTTCTTTTCCCTAGACCGTCCCAACAGCTACCGACCATGCTCACAGGTATATTTACCAGACTTTTTGTGCTTAACCGCCCAAGCCCAGTAATCCGTGTTACTGCCTAGTGGGAGAATGTCCTCGTGCACTGCCGCCCTCTACTTCTGCAAATGAACTCATCATCCGCTCTATTGACTCCGAGCCACAGCGCCCGTAGTGTGTGAGGTTCTCGGGCTTCTCTGAGAACCGCTCACCGTCCAGGCATGGTAATTCCGTGCTATGATAGGCCCGCCCAGCAGGAAGGTTTCCAGTGGTTTTCACTTTCACATCTTTGCCCGGACCGACCGCTAGTCGTGGTGCGTCACAGCGAATGTGGCTCTCCTCTCTGTTTGCGCCAGGAGACGTTGCACCTCAACTTCCCAGTACAGTTAGACCACGTGCGGTCATTATTGCTCCTTCAACCACTTTCACCACTGGAGCAGTTAAAATCTCGTGCGTCCTTAAGTGCCGGTACCGAGTATATGCATTCCGCCTCCGCGGAAGAGGTTCACCTTGATCGGTATGTTCCCTTTCGTTGCTTGTTCTCTGCCGGGACGATTCAGGGTCTGTGGGACGCCTCCATTTAAAGTTCCGCCATCGCCAGTATGTCGTGCCCGTGACACGTGGTATGGCACTCTGTAGTGTTACCTTGGTTTTCAGTGTTACTGCCGGTTGCCTCGCTGGCTTTGGCGATTTCAACTTCATTTTCTCTGCTTTAAATCGGGCCCGTTCGCCTCGTGCCATCCAGGCTTTTCTGAACGTATTGCGCATACCTTATTCGAGAATTGCCACCAGATTATGCGATTTCTTAAAGCTAATTGTTCTCAGGTTTCATGTTTGCGGCCTTAACCGCGCCAGAGTATCCTGGTCCAGTGGGGAGTGATGACCTTTTGTTTTTGTCCTGAGGGTCGGATAGCACATGCTTCTACAGTACTTACCTCCTTACCCCGGTCTGGTCAAGACCAGTGCGGATGAGAAAATAATGTGCTTACCTGGTGCTCGGTCTTTGGCTCGCCCAGCTCGTGACCAATGCTCAAATACGCACGTTGCCAGTTTCGAGATTTACTTAACCATATCCTCGCTCACTGGTGCACTACACCTAGTCCGTGGCTTTACCGCCGCGTACTCCGCACTGAAACCCCATTGTAAGGTTTATTGCGCAATGCCTGGGGTCCCGTAACCTAAAACTTATTTTCACACAACTCTGCCACGCTTATTCGCTGTTTTGGCTGGTTCTTTCCACTAATCTGGGTATGCGATGGTAAAGAGTTCTACTCCAGCACGCTGCTTTGTGCACATTGCCCAATTCACCCTGTTTTGTCACACTGACCGGTGCACGTTTGCCTTCTAGCCGGATCCTTGGCTGCCTATAATATTTGGCCAGTGATACATACAAATTGATGTGCACCTCTGTACATGTTGGGCAGGGAACATCCCACTGCTTGCTGTGGGCCGATGGCGCGCAATGGGCCTAGTCCCCTTTCGGCCCTCGGGCATTAACAAAATCCATCTTTCCGAGTTGGTCTTCCCAGTTTAGCTCGCCGCATGCCCTGCTAGGTATGCTACACTACCTAACATGTTGGCACGGGCTCATGACAAGTGATGTGTTATGCCCGGGTATGTGTACAACATACATGCATCTACACTACTAACCGTACCTGGTGTATGGCAAAGTCAATCGCGAGCGCCGGTGAAGTATCTGTTGATTACGAGCGATCTTCCTATCGAACTGAACTTTCCGCTAATACTGTTGCGCTAGCTTAACAGGACGGTACAATTACCCATTTGTAAGTGCTACCACTGCTATGACTACGAAATATCATAGAGCCATTTAAAGTAAGCCTTTGAACAGCATTGTAATAATCAATACATGAGCGCTTTCAAAGCCATCGGTGGTCCTATTTCGCGAGACACGTCTTTGCGTCTACACAATAGTACGTACCTGGTACCATAATTGCCACGACTGCCGCCATAAAACAGGTGTGATGTTAAGATTCTATGAATAAAACCACGCAATAGAGTTCAATGTGATTACCTGGTATTGTATCCGCGCGACCGTAGGAATTGCGTACTGTTACTGTAGACTCTTACAGACTGTACATTCTTACTCTTATGGAGTCCCTGTTCTACCTCTGATCCCACGACGAATTGCTGGGCCATGTTCTTCTATCCTTGAAACCCATCGGCGTCGAGCTGGGCGCGCCACACACACGGATAAGTAGATAGAATTGTAGTTGGTATCACCTCAGTCCATCACAGCTGTACTCCACAGGGTGGCATATGAATAGCACGCACGTTGCGTCCCTGCAAGTCTGTCCAGTATAGCGGCCCTTCCAGTCCTGTATCGCGAATCCGCTTCGTCACGGCCTAGGTGGTTGTACAACGCCAGCCCGGCATTCGGACAGGGCACGGCGCATAACCTGCTTCACGGCGTCCATGTTTCACGGGTAGTTGGTGGCCTCTGACACTTAACCTTTGGCCGATGTGCCGTTGTCGGACACGATTGTGCCTCGATGAAAAAGTACGAGACTTAGTGTCACCGCCCCCCCCAGACTGTATCAACTGATTGATAGGTCTGTTTACGCTCGCACACGCCTGCCACCATGTAAGAACACGCCAGTCATAAACTAACTTTCAGAGGAAAGATAACACACATAGTTTATTCGATACCACTTCTAGTTTCCGCCATCGTTCCAACTTACCACGATCACACCACGTGACCCTTCACAGCATACAGCGGCTGGAACACATGGAACAATACGCGGTGGTTTATGTTGTGCGCGGAAGTGTGGATACACCAGGGTAGCGTTCCGGCAGTACCCTGGGGGACATAGACCCTATGAGCGTTAGTGAGCTAATTAGAGTACCATTTCCATATGCTGCTTAAAGAGCAGATTGATAGAGACTCGACAGAGAGAGAGAGAGAGAGAGAGAGAGAGAGAGAGAGTAGAGAGAGAGACGAGAGAGAGAGACGACATGACAGAGAGAGAGAGGAGAGCGAGAGAGAGAGAGACGAGAGAGAAAGGCAGAGAGAGAGACGTGGAGATGTGGGCGGGTGGGG